TTGCCCCCCCTCCCCCCCAGTCTCAGATGTTCATCTGTCACTGTTGTTAAGGCTGTAGCCACAAGGGAGGGTGAGGGTAGAAGTTGATTCCTGAAGAAAAAAGAAAATGAAAAGTCATTGTAATGAGCTGTTTTTATATTTTTAAAAGTTACTATTTAAAGATTGGCTTGATTGTTGTGTTTTAATTGCTCCCCTCCCCCTCCATGAACACCTCCATTTTGTCAGAAGAGAGCCTTTGTCATCCGTATACATGAGCCCTTTTCATTTCGAAGTCCTGGACTGGATGGTAAGTGGGAGTGTTTTCATCCTACATCACTGCGCCTTGCCAGTCTAAGCCCCAGGGAGTGGCGGTGGGAGCTGATTCCCCCAGGCAGGTGGCAGGACAGAATTCCTGGGGGAAGGCTACAGTGAGTTACACCCAAGTCTTACACAGCTCCCCTTGCAAAAGTGGAAAAAATGTGAACTACAAGTGAAATTGCAAAGTGTCTGTCAACGTCTGGCTCTGAAAACCTGGATCTTTTTTTTTAAAGCTTAACAAATTTAAATGTTTTTGGGAGGGTGGGGGGAACCTTCAATCCCTAGGTCACCAAGGTGTGTTTTGAAGGCTTAGGAGGGTTTCGCAGAAGTGGTAAGACAGGAGTGCTGGTCAGTGTCCCCAGGGATGCAGGGCAGGTTTGGGTGATTCCCATGCTCTTGGATTTCATGCCCCTATCAGAGAAGGTTCCCAGAACTGTGGACTAAAGGTTTTCAACTGCTTGTTCTGTCAGTCATACATCAGCACAAACAATTGCCTGCTGTCATTTCGTACAAGAATGAAAATTTTTTTAAAGGGAGTGAAAATTCTAATTCTTAATTCTAAGCCTAGAAAGGACAGCTGGACTGCACTTGGTCATTCAGCTGGAGAGAGGATGTCCCTCGGGCTTTTGGAGAAGCTCGGCTGCAACTCAGCTTACAGCGCTATTGATTGACATTTTAATAAAACGGCACCTCTTTGGGCCACGCTTCTTGTTTGTCTTAAGTCCACATATCGCAGCAGAGGGCCATATGGCAGGCTCTAGCCAGAAAATTCTGTGTATACCCAGGACTTGCCTGACAGTTGCCCACTGGTGCCAAGATAGGGTTGGAGCTTGCGGGCCCCAGTGGGTGAAAGAGGAAAACCTCTATCAGCCAATGCTTGTCCTACTGAGAGTGAAGGCCAATTTTATTCCCATTTCTCGGAAGACAAGGTGTTCTCTGAAAGGCCCTTCTACCAAGATTTCCTGGGCACAGTCTGGGACGGGGAGATGACCGGGATTCAGTCTCTGCCATAGAAGCTCAGTTGAGGGGGGGGAGAGAGACCACAGCCCCTGTATTTGACTTGTGCAAGTGGTGTTGGGGACATCCTTCAGCTTCCTGCTGGTGCCTCGCCTCGGGCCTGTTCTCACTGCCATTGTCATAGGAGCTCCCCAGGCCTTCACCCTGATTCTCAGGCTGCCTCCTGGCTGCCTTGTTCCACGCACCACTCCCTCCTGTGCTTTCCATTCAGCTTGTTAAGAGACCCAGAATCTCAGTCCTGCAGAATCAGATCTGCATTTTAAGGACCCTTGATTCCTCCACACAGCCTATGGGGAGGGGCCCACTCATGGTAAACTCTCCAGTGCAATCCTTAATCCCCCTACCCCTAGGTCCCCCCATCCCATATGGCCAAAGGCCTTGGTTCCGTTTGTCTAGCCTTTTTAAGTTACCCCCTAACAATTCTTTCTCTTTCATGCAAAACCCAGGCTCATGTAATCAGTATTTGCACCACACCTGTTTGCTTGTCTGTCTGTCTCGCTAGGCTAGTTTCCCTGGAGGGCAGCACCCAGGACTTTATGGGCTCTGGGCAGTCCTAGTGAACCATGAGTTTCTACTAGTCTGAGAGATCCTTCTAGTTCTCAGGTGAGTGGGGCATCCAGATGCTCATAACTGAAGCCCAGAGAAAGGAAATGACTGCAGTTCCTTGTGCTCTCTTGTGCTGCCTTTCCTCCAAGCAAGGAGATCTGATGAAACAAATGTAGAGGGTATAGGTGTCAGAAGGCAGCTTTCATGGTTTTAGTTCACGTCAGAATGTGTGTATAAATGTCCAGGTCAGTCCTCGCAACAGCTGACCAGGCCATCTCTGCTGACTTGTCATTGCCCATCCATCCTGGTTGCCCTCCCTAGTCAGCCCCAACCCCAGCACAGGCAGTGACTCTCCTAACTTATAGGGTCTATGGGAAAGTATGGAGGTACAGAGCTGTGGGTGCTGGTAGAACGGTCTTTAGTGAGAATGCTAAGTGTTAGGGACTGGCCATCCAATATCCCATGATGATGGAGTGTAAATTTTTTTCAAGGGTATATTTGAAACTGCACTATTATTTAATATAAAGCACAGCAAACAAATGCAATCAACTTTTTATTTGCATGGTTAGACACCATTTGATTTTTGTGTGTGTGTGTGGAATATAAAATGTACTCTATTCTGGTACCCATGAAGTATTTTTAAACATTACACCAA